TCAAAAGATGATCACAAATCAATTTCCAACCGAAAAGTTATGCTCCAATATTTTAGTCTCATATTGAGACCTATTTTTGGCATAGAAAGTGATCGAATTGGAGAATGATGTCTGAATAAAAGTTGTAGCCAGATAAGTTAGCTTTCCAACGCATTTTGAATCGCCTCAATCGGATATCGGAATACAAAGTTATGATAAAAACACTGAAAGAAGGTGCGCTGCCTGTTTAAAATAACAAATTCCGTTACATAATCCGTTAAAACAACAAATTCCGTTAGTTTTTCCGTTAAAAACAAGAAATTCCGTTATATAGCCACTTTTAATATATAGAAGATATAGGTGACACCAGAAGTGATTGCTAAATACACAGTTGCAGCCCTACGCCGGACAGTACATATGGCAGTGCCGAGGATCGTGTTCCTATCCGGTGGACAAAGCGAGGAAGAGGCCACTGTAAACTTAAACGAGATGAACAAACTCGAACACTAAAGCCATGGACATTGTCCTTCTCATTCGGGCGAGCTTTACAGCAAAGCATACTCAAAACATGGGCTGGAAAGAAGGAAAATGTTGGCAAAGCTCAAGAGATGTTCTTGGGAAGGTGTAAGGCTAATTCTGAAGCCACACTTGGGAAGTACACTGGGGGGAGTGCTGGAGAATTGGCTTCTGAAAGTTTGCATGTCAAGGGCTACAAGCCTTCAAGCCTACAAGTATTGAGTCTTGTATTTTTGCATTCTTATTTTCAGTACATATTACAGATGTCTGTTATGATATAATGCATTTAATTCATCAAATTTCAAGCATTTTCTGGCTCTGGGATTTAACTCTCATGAATTATGTGATATGAGTCCAAAAAATTTGTAAAAGAATTTAGGCATTTATGCCGCCTCTTTTCTTGCTGAAATAAAAAATAAAATAATTTCATTCACCACTCCCCCTTCTTCTCCCTCGACTATTCGTTCAATCCCTTTCCCCCAAAATTTCTATAACAAGATTTTCTGTTGAAAAACCCATGTCAATTTCCACCAAAAAAATCTCACCACCCGAAAACTCCATTCTTGAAACCCATAAAAATGAACTACGCCCAGAATTCATTTTTTTCTTCAAGTCCATCCATCAAGAGCCAAATAATAACCAGAAAAGAATACATTTTTCCAACCCCACCTTCAGCTTCTCTCCAACCCATTGAAGAGTTGCCTCCAAATCTCAAAGAAATCGTTAGACTCTTCCAAGTGGTTCAAGAACCAAAGGCCAAATATGAACAGTTGTGCTACGACAAAAATTTAAAGTCATTAGCCATTGGAATCCCAGTTTAAAACAAGTGAAAACAAGGTGCAGAGTGTGTTTCTCAAGTGTGGGCCAGGGCATATCTGAATCTGACACCTTGTGCCAACGTAGACTTCCAATCTGTCGAAGAGCTAGAGTGTTTTTCTTACATATTAGACTTGCTTTGACTTTTGAGTGAGAGAGGACCATGCTGATCGAGAATTTTAATTGAATCTGTTCTTTGTTAGCATTCTGGGCAATACATTCTTGTATTTATATCTCAATCAATTCAAAGAATTTTATTTGTTATTTTGATTAATCTAAACTAAGTTGTATTTATATCATGACCATACGAATTTCTGCTTATTTGTTATTGTGATTCAAAGAAAATGAATTGATGCTTGATAAGGGAGTTTGTGGGACTGAATCCTGCTAACAGGGTTGTACTGTGTGATATTTCCAAGTACTATACTTCCTCAATGCCTTGACCTTAGCATTTCCTTCAATATTACTTAAGTGACTTAACACCACGTATGGTAGAAATACATCCATCTTCTCTACTTGAGGGAGTTTTTGATGCTGATAGCATAAGGCTGTTAGTTAGGTCCGGCAACTTACAGTCATTTACACTCCCTGAATGATAGTACTATTCGTTCTTATACGTGACCTACGAAGGTTGATTCTTACTAAACTCAAATGATGTGTTTTTTCTTGTCCCCACTCTTGATCTTAACTGAGAGAGGTTTCTTGTTATCATTCTTCATGCCAATAGTTCACTTCAGTATCATCTTGTTATCACTCTGATGTCTCTAGCACAATGTGGAGGCAGATAAGTTATTTATATTGCTGCTTATTATACATTGAATCTGCAGTAATTGATGTTCCAATACGCTGTTGTTTTTCCTGTAACAGAGCTGATAAATAGAGTTGAATTTAAGAGAGAAAATAAGACAATACAAAGATAATAGAATTGTATTGAATAGTGTGATTTTTTTACAAGAGAGACATCCTATTTATAGTTTAACTCGATAAGATTGTTTTATTTTCTAATCAGTGTGGAACTAACTAAAATGTACATTATGTATATATGTATATACATTAACAACCCC